TGGCTTGCGTTAACTTTGCTTTGTTACTTTGACCCTTTTTTGTGGATTCCCCTGTGTGCTTTGTCCCAGTGTCTTTCCAGTGATGAACTCTGCCTTTGTCTCCAATGACAGCTTTGGATGCATTTGCTATGCCAGTTTATCTTCTTGATCTGACCACAGCGAATCCTTGTATCCTGATCCTATCAGTTTATTGATAAACTAAGCACCTATTGCACTTGATGCTGGCTAAACATTGAAAACAGCACACTTAATTTGGAGCCCAAGAGCACCAGATTTCCAGAGGGCTGTTTCAGAGAACCCCAGGTTCTGAAATACAAACAGACTTTTTTTCTGCTGTCCACACTGGTGGTCGGCATTCCTGAGTTTCTGTGTGCCTCTTTGCAGCATATTTATATTTTGAGCTGTGTGCTTTTGTTTTCTTACAGCCTGGACCATGCTGGAGAGCACAGGGACAAGCCACAGCATCTGAAACGTGAGTCTGCTGGCACTAAAGAGCGTTCAGGGAGGAAGTGAGAGAGGGCAAGGGTGAGGGGATACTGTAGTTCCCTCTTTTCTCCTGTCCTTCTATACTCCATCTAACTTGCACTTACTGAGGACTGGACCTTCTGAAGAGACCTGAGATACTCTCCACACTGGGACAGAGGGATATGTGTCCACAGTGGGACAGAGCTCATGGACAGACAAGGGGAGAAGGTGTGCACAGTGGGACAGTTCTCACAGTGGGATGAGGGGAGACAGTCCACATGTTCGCCAGCAGCTACATCACCCTGCAACTCATAACTGACAACACACTGCAGCTCAGCAGGTGTGAGCCTGGTCAGTACCTGGATGGGAGACCTTCTGGGAAAAACTAAGGTTGCGGCTGGAAGAGGTGTTAGTGGGGCCTGCAGGGGGCGCTCACCCTGCGGTCTGTGTGGTTCCGAATGCACCTGTATAGTGACGGGGATACTATACTGTAAACAGGCACCATCCTTCGGATGAGACGTAAAACTGAGGTCCTGACTCTCTGTGGTCATTAAAAATCCCAGGCTGTTTCTCGAAAAGAGTAGGGGCGTAACCGCGGCGTCCTGGCCAAATTTCCCGTTGGCCTTTACCAATCATGGCCTCCTAATAATCCCCATCTCTGAGCGGGCTTCATCACTCTGTTCTCCTCCCCACTGATAGGTGATGTGTGGTGAGAGTTCTGGTGGTGGAGGGGGGTCCCCATTACCTGTAAAGTGCTTTGAGTGGAGTGTCCAGAAAAGCGCTCTATACATGTAAGCAATTAGCAATTATAGCAATCGCATGTTCTTATAGTGTGACTGACAATGCAGTGACAGGTGGGGTTATAGGGTAGTGTAGTGTGCCCATATGAATGAGAAGAAGCCTCTGTATGTGTTTTTGGTAATGTTTGCAGTCTTCTCACCGAGCAGAGCAGGAGGAAACTACATTTCCCAGTTAGCACTGGGAGGAGGATTGTTAACTTCCTGGGGGCTGGGTCATGAAGCACAGCTGTTGCTATTGAGGGGATGTCTCAGTATAAAAGAGAAAGGTCAACGCCGCTCTAGGTCTATTCTTTCAGAGCCTGCTCCTGAAGGGGTGTTGAACCTGAAGACACTAATTATGGGCAAAGACGCATCAATATGGCGTCATTCCTTACTTCAGGGGCAACCTGCCAGTGTGCACCCCTGATTCCCGACACTAGGTCCTGTGCTCCACAGACTCCCCCTCCTCGAGCTCAGTCCCCTCAGGTGAGGGCATCTTGGACCTCATGTTCCCTCTGTGTGATCACACGGGGTCTTAACTCAGCCACTCACTGAAATAAAACAGTGTCTGGTTAGACCAAAAAACAAGTTGCAGTTTTCAGTTTACTTCCAATTACTCACGGGTGAATTTAAAGATGTAAAAACAATTAGCAATTTCTAATTGTTAAATAATGAGTTAAACCAAGGGCTCCGGGGGAATGAAACCCAGCCGTCACTGGGATCAGCAGGACCTGGAAACTCGGGGCTTGTTGTGCTCAGCACAGCCTGTGCACGGAACATCCTGCTTCTGTTGCCTGATTGTCATTTTATCCAATTCACCAATATCCACGATTTGTAGCTGCACTCGTCTCTCGACTTACAGTTTCACCTTACTGAAATTATGTCCCACTAAATTTAGAAAATAAAAACTTGGAAAAACTTGGAAAAAAAGGGTACACAAAAATTGTCAAATTCACCACCCATTGGAGCAGATCTGAAGACACAACACACTTTCTATTCAAAAGTATGCAAAAGCTGATTAAATTATTTACTCATAGTTTGATCTGCAGCTGTGCCACTAGGTGGCACTCTAACCCTATTCATGGATCAGGATTAATAGGCTCGTGCTGTTAATATACCCCTGAACCTAGGCTCAGCCACACACAGATCATGATGTTCTTTTATAAATATACCTTATTGAAGCTGTAACGTCTCTGAAACAATTTAACCTTTTGTTTACACCAGTAGGGAACAATCCAGGTCCTGCAGGGCTGATGTGTTTTCATTACGTCACAGCCCTTATGGAGCTAAACCAGCTGGTTACCGGATTAAATTGACCAGTTTATCTGCTTCTCCCAGCATGGCAGATACACTGACCCCCCCAGGACCGGGACTGGACACCCTGCAGACACACTGATCCCCCCAGGACCGGGACTGGACACCCTACAGACACACTGACCCCCCCAGGACCGGGACTGGACACCCCGCAGACACACTGATCCCCCCAGGACCGGGACTGGACACCCCGCAGACACACTGACCCCCCAGGACCGGGACTGGACACCCCGCAGACACACTGACCCCCCAGGACCAGGACTGGACACCACTGGTTTACAACAGTACATTTTGCATTTTCTAACAGGCAGTCCTTGGCAATACATTTCTGAGCCACAAACCAACACGAATCACTTTGATTTAAATTCCAGTGTTCACTGTTGCTTATTTTCCTCCTTTGGCAATCCTTGTTCCAAAAAGATGCCTTTATCTTTTTCCAGTTTTTTTTTTCCCAGCCTCTTCTGAAACTTGCAGATTCATCCACCTGGTCTGGAAACTCCCAATCCTGCAGGTTCAGTCCAATATGGACTCCTCTTTTGGGAGAACACGTTCTGGCCTGTCCCTGGATAATGGGAATGCCTTAACCTGCCTGAAACAGAACCGGATCTGTGAAGCCAAGGCCAGCGTTCCTTATCCGCTCCATTCTGGCAGCAGGCTGTGTAGATCTCTGAATCAGGAGCAGCTGCTGCGCTGTGCAGGGGGGTAAATTAGTTCAATGTTAGCCTCGAGTGAGGTTTTGTGTTTCTGGTGAGACTAGTTACTAGTGACTAGACCTTTGACTGCACACACACTGTATAATTCTCACTATTCCTGTACTCTGTGACCTGACGTCGCACACAGTGTATAATTCTCACTGCTATTTCTGTACTGCGTGACCAACCTGACACTGCACACATTGCAGTGAGAAATTGTAGATTTCTCAGTTATTTCAGTGCTGTGTAATTCTCCCCAGTTTCAGTGGTACTTTGTATGAAATTAACTACGCTAACATAAAACCAATATATTCTTTAAATAGTACGAAAGAGATTCTTAGCATTCCAGCTGGTTATTTATTACTCATTGGTGAACATTGTCAGAATTCCCTTAAGCTCTTTAAGACCAGAGTTTTTAACACATTTAACACATTACGTGATCAATAACTGCCAAGCATTTAGAATCAAATTAGCGATTTAGGGTGACTCAATATTGGGGATCCGCAAGATAAGGGCTGAAAACCAGTGATCTACAAACAGGACCAGAACTTCAGAAGAACCTGTCTTCCTCCTGGTGTTAATGCAAGTATTTTCTCATTCTTATAGTTCTAAACATGGCTGAACACTGATGGATCAACTTCTTATCTGCAATCAATTAACATTTACTTCAGGCTTTGTAAGGGTACATACAGTAATTGCCATTTATTAATGGAGGTGGTATGGAAGGAGAGTTTTTAAATTATTTCTGAAGTGTTTTCTTTGATAGTAAGCGTGGGTTAATCGATTTGTTCACATTGTGTATCTTTTTTAGAATAAAGCATTTACTGTCAAGATGCTGTATGTCAGCTGTTGGTTACAGTCAACAGTCAAGAATAATACAATAATGTCAGTTCCATGCAGGACCTATTTTAATGCCCTTATTTGCTTCCTTATCAAACACTTAAAATACCCATTCTGAAACCCTGAAAAATCTTTTCCATCTTTAAAGATGAAGCCAGCACCGTCTCAGCAGTAGGGGGCAGGGCTCTGGATGGATGCTGCACTTGTATCCCAATTGCTCTCATCTGCCCACCATCACTTGAGGGCACCATGTGCTGGAGCAGTATCACCTACACTTGCTGCCTGTCTGCCTCACACAACCTCGTTAGTGTTAACCTTTAGCCTGACAGCACAGATCCACTGGTCCAACTGGTTCCCAGCAGGAGTGAGGCCTGGAGATTGTTCTGGCCAGGGAAGGTGATAGAAGTCTGTTTCCTGCTCTCCTAGCCCAACCACACACACACCGTCTGCTACTGGAGGGATCTGTTCATTGGATGGGGGTTCCTAGTATTTTGGCCAGCAAGAGCAGATCTGGTGCTGTTAAAGGCAGAAGGGCTGCTAATAACAGGACACCGTTACTTTCAGCAGGATGGCCTTCAGCTGGGGTTGTGAGGAGGGTGGTGGTGTGTGGGGACAGAACTGGACAGGTCCACTGGTTCCCAGCGGGAGTGAGGTCAGGGGACTATTCTGGCCAGGGAAGGTGATGGGAGTCTCTCTCCAGCACCCCCACTGGGAGAGTAGGGTCAGTAGACTGGGGGGTTCCCAATACTTCGCCCAGTGCTCGAGCGCATTACCTGACGGCAACTCTCCTCTGCTGTGATGGACACCGACAGCCCCAGCGGGCTCCTCAGGTGAGAAATCCAAACCGGAGGCGGCCTGGAGACGTCAGTAATTAGACAGGAGGGGGACAGAGTGAAGACTGAGGCAGTGGGACAGTTCATACGCAAAACAGGTTTATTCTGATCACGTTCAGGACGTACAGCCACAAACTGAGTGCACCCCGACACAGGGGAAACTGTGACTTCCAGATCTCCACGTAGCATTAATATTACACTATCCATTGAAAAACTGACTGGAAACACTAACCCTACTACAAAATAATCAAGCACATTCCCGGAAAAAAACACAGGAGCCGAAGAAAGAAAAGAATAAATAAAACAGCCGACCAAAAGGACAAAAATGTCATAAAAACCTAGAAGTGAACAGAGAGATAAATATGAAACTACATCCCTTTTCATTAATAATTCACATTTAAACCAACTTAAAAAAAAACAGAAGCTGAAATTCTTAAAACACTGATACCATCAACAAAATTGCTATAAGGCCACACAAATAAATGGCTCAAAGTACAAGTGTCAATGTAAAATCGCAGGCGAGTTTTAGACCCCAACAAATCCAGGTGACAGTTCGGCTGGGTGATTTATGTACAGGTAACCGCTTCCCTGTCTGTGGCAGTAACCGTGGCAACGGGTGAACAGCCGTGTCATGTGACCAGAGGCCCATTCTTCACCTCTCTTTTCAAGGCTGTTACTCGCAAAGCATGAGGAAGTACACCCAGGAATTATCATGTGTGCATAATGTACATGCAGCTACTCTTCATGTTACCAGTGCAAAATGTCTGCAGAGAAGAAGCAACACGATTGCATTGTGCAGCCCTGGCCAGTAGGCTTGGCCTCTGTTGTCGCACCGGGACCCATTCATCGAGTCTGCGCTCGTCTCTCCCTCTTTACTGGGAGATGCCAGTTCAGGGTTGCAAGGGAGCCAGAGCCTATCCCTGCAAGCAACAGGTGCAAGGCAGGGTTCACCCTGGCCGGGACGCCAGTCCAGCACAGGGCCTTCCCAAACCCCCAGTCCCGAAAGCACTCCCTCCACTCTTCCCATGCCAGAGCAAGAGGGGCCTTCCATCCCCTCCGCCCCTGATCGACAGAGAGATGAGCGCAGACTCGGGAGCAGTCCTGTTATTGCTGTTGGATGTATTCAGCACTTTCCATCCAAAAGGATACTAAAGCATTTTACATACAGGAGGGGTCCCACTTAGTCCACCCCCCTTCGTGACCCACAGCAGGCCCACGACACTGCAGATCAGGGGAGAAGTGATCAAATTAAAGGGGAAATGGTAGGTAGGCCAGAGTGGAATCCAGCCAGCTCACATGGGGTGGCAATCCTACTCTTACAAAGAGTGTCCTGGGATCTCACATCTCCAGGACCTTTGTTAAGTATCACTTCCAAAGGACAGCACCTTTTCCATTGCAATCACACAGGGACATTTTGTAAATTGTAGTCCAGATGGAAGAGCACCACCTACTGGTTCACCAATGCCACCTACATTTTCCCCTTAGAAGTCTGCCATTCCTATTCTCACCAGGCACACTCATTTAAACGATCTGCTGAAAACAGGCTCTGGATCGGACAAGCCCAAAGAGAGTGTGCTAAAGAAACCGTAGCTCACTTTATCTTCCTCAGCCTTGCAGAACTCTACAGAATGACATGTTTCATAGAACTGACTCGTTCCCTCCAGAGCAGCAGGAACAACCAAGCACTTGGTTTGTCCCATGATTCCTGCAGAGTGTACAGGAGCGCAAAACCAGGCTTTTTCTTCAGTGTGCCATGCTATGGGAATATGACCTGACAAATAGCATGGCTGTGGCCAAGTGACACTGGTGCGCTCCCGAAGGCAACAGCAGACCTGGCTAATGTGTTAGCTCAGGCAGCATCCGGGGATCACAAGCAGTGGTTGGCAAATAAAAAAAAAACACCCAGAGGAAGTCCGATCAGGCCACAAAAAAAGCTGCTGACCCACTACCCACATCTCGTGTAGAGCTGTGACAACTGTGGTGGTGTGAGAGAGTCCATGAACACCCATGGACAGCTAGTGGAACGAGTGGAATAAAAAATCTTCTTTGATTTTTGGGCGGAATATTTCATAAAATAAACAACTTCATCTTTGACAAAAAAAAAAACAAAATACCCTGCCTTTGAGACATAAGATTACAGACTATAACTGTCCAACAGACCCAGTGCAGCAAATCAATTATCAATAATCAATAAAGAACAGTAACAAAAAGTACATCAGCTAAGTAGAGCCTCATAGTGAAAAATATTTACAATCAAATATGGGGGAAAAAAGCCCACCTAATGGCTGATGCTCAACGTAACCATCAGGTCCTTTCTGGGGAAATTCGGGAATCGCTCTCCAAGCATTTTCCTGGACATGAGGAAGGAACGTCGTCCTTGGGAATCACCTCACACTGCTGCCCGCAACAAAAAGCACTCCCAGGAAACAAATGGAGAAGAATTCATTGGACAGGTCGGCTAAGCAGAGCACTTGACTCGAGACAGGAACAGCCTGATTCCAGCTCCATAGCTCTGCTTCCTGTCCTAATGGAAATCGGAAATTACAGCCAAACCTGCTCTTCAATATAGCATCAACATGGAATATACTACTAGCAAATCCAAAGAAATTGTTTAATTCTAGTGTGGCATCTTTGTAGCTCATTTTGGCACACAGTGACTACAACTGAAGCAAAGACTTTTCTATCGGAAACCGTATGTCCGTCAGTTAAAGATGTTTTTAAATGGAATCTAATGTGGGCATTGTGTTGAAAAAAGCTTGCATCACAATGACAAACACTCCTCAGCTTCAGGGCTGAGGCTCGATCTCACACCCAGATTTCACAATGCAGCGAGATTTAAGGAGTGTCTAGCCCCATCTCATGAGCAACACACTCGACACTCTTTCCCTGTCAAACAGGTAAAATCTCGAAGGCTCTATTCGAGAATCGGGATTTTGTTTTTCCCGTTATGACATTAGTTGAGCTTAAATCCAGAATGGTCCCTCTTCCTATGACAAGACTATCCGTGCCGTTCAAATCCAGGCACAGCCCCAGGGACAGCCTCGATACGGACACTGCAGCACGCTTGATCCCGAATCCACAGAGACCGTAACAGGGCAGCAGAGCCGCATGACGCAGGACCGGAGCTTCGTTTACTGGGAGGCTACAGGAACCAGTCATTGTGGGAGACATGGATACACCGAAATTCCTGCGTTAGGGAGAGGCTATTCCAATGAATCCATCCCTCTTCATCCAGTCCAGGGTCACGGGGGAGCCAGAGCCTATCCCAGCAAGCAACAGGCACAAGGCGGGATACACCCCTGGCTGCATGTCACCCATTCCGATACGTCTTCAATGCCGAACTGCAGTGAATGTGGTCACGGTCCATTAAGTCACAGGGTGTACAAGAAAACAGAAATGGTGAATCTACTTGTTCCCTCAGAACCGGTGCTTCAGCAGGCCTCCCAGAAAACGCCCTCCCAGTCCTGGTCTTCTGCAGCACGGAGGTGCTGCAGTTTGTGACTCAGAGGCGCTGCGGGATGCTGTAGACTACCGCAAAAGAGATCGGCTCTTTTGTGTGACTCCAGGGGTCGGAATGGCTCAGTCTCCTGCTGCGGGCCTGTTGCAAGGCGGGCAGGAATTCTTACGGGGTGTCAGCGCAGGAGGAGGAACTACGCATTCCTGACAAATTGCACAATTTTCGCAACTCTTCCACACAGGCTGGGAATGACTGAATTAAACTTGCGTGCTACCGAAAAGACAAAATATATACAACCTTACTTACAGATGCAGACCTAAGAATTAGCACCACGTATCTGAAACAAGGTCATTCGCGAAGCGATTAAACTTGTGTGATTTTCTGTAAGGGGTCGTGAAGCTGATCGCGTGAATGAGCTCGTTTCCGACACAGGTAGGCCAACACTTCACGTCTGAAATTGTGTCTCCTTGCCCTTGGCGTCTGTGTGTATTTTGCAGTTTAAGGAGCTCAGTTCTGCGAGATCCATAACCACGCCCAGAAATGCCCTCGAGTCAGGTCAGCCTAGAGACAAAACGACAAATCTGGGAGCTCCAGCTTCATGGATTCTGCCGGCTCACAACTCTGTCCCCTACACTCAAAGCGTTCAGAGGCAGAGCTCCAGAATACCGAAACACACACACAATTAACCACAAGGGAGAGGAAAGCAAACTGTGAAACAGTGACATAAGTAACAATTAACGTGGTAGTTGGGTTAACTGGGTAACTATAAGACCTGTAAGTGAAGAGGGGAGGAAAGCTGGGCCTGTTGCACCCAGACTGTGGAAAGAGAGGATTTCTCTTGCTGTTGATTCTTTTCAAGACCAGTGTCTGTACTCACCCCCTCCCCAGTGTGCAGCACTGACATCACATACAAGCCTAATTCTTGTCTCGGGGTGGGCAGAAAGCAGAGCAGATTGACACAGCTTGGCTTGCAAGGCTGCGTAGTCACACCACTCAAACAGAGCACAGGCTGTGTTCTCTTTCAAAGCACTTCAACACAGGGAGCCCCCATCTCCTCGGAGCTCAGGGGGGAAAGAGATGGGAGATCGGGGATCCCCGATGCGGGAGCACTGACTTGGTTTTTACAGGTTTGGGGGAAGGGATGAGACACAACCCATCAAGCACGCACACCAAGTTACCGATTCGAATTCAGTGAGAAGGGGGAGCCGAGGGACAACTGCGTGGCCAGATGAGAACCGTGCTGCAGAAGGGGGGCTGAGTACAGATACCGACAGCCGAGCGCGAGGAGGGAGAGGCGGAGGGGCAGGAGTCGGGGGCAGGGGTGATGGGGTCTGAAGCGGTGATGCTTCCAAACCCCCTCAACCTCCCCCCCACACCAGACAACGCCCTCTCATTTCTTGTTCTTGAGCTGGTTGGCCAGCCAGTCCAGCCCCTCGTACAGCCCGTCGCCGCTGGTGGCGCAGGTGGCCTGGATGTACCAGTTCCGGTGGCGGAGCGAGTGCAAGCCCAGCTTGTCGGTGATCTCCGCCGCGTTCATCGCGTTGGGCAGGTCCTGGAGACAGAGAGAGAGAGGGAGGAGAGAGGGAGGTTAGACAAGGGGGGAGAGAGAGAGATGGAGGAGAGAGAGAGGGAGGAGGGAGGAGAGAAGAGAGAAGGACAGAGGGGGGGAGAGAGAGGAAGGTTAGACAAGGAGGGAGAGAGAGATGGAGGAGAGAGGAGGAGGGTGAGGAGAGAGAGGGAGGTTAGACAAGGAGGGAGAGAGAGATGGAGGAGAGAGGAGGGGGAGGAGGGAGGAGAGAGAGAGACAGAGGAGAGAGGAGGAGGGAGAGGAGAGAGAGAGGGAGGAGAGAAGAGAGGAGGACGGGGGGGGGAGAGGAGGAGGAGAGATATAAGGAAAAGAGTATTAGCGAAAGAATACTTCAAGCTCCGGCTCAGTGAGAGAGCGAGGGGCCGGGGGGGAAGAGGGGGATCACCTGCTTGTTTGCAAAGACCAGGAGAACAGCGTCCCTCAGCTCATCCTCTGCCAGCATCCTCATCAGCTCCTCCCTCGCCTCGTTCACCCGCTCCCGGTCATTGCTGTCCACCACGAAGATCAGCCCTGGGCAGCGGGAGCAGACAGTATCAGTCACTCTCTCGTCACGGGCGCTCAGTCCTGCCGTCTCAAACATACACCTGGCGCCTCAGATGGTATCTTACCCTCATCCAGGGAAACACGGAGCCTCACCTTGCGTGTTCTGGAAGTAATGTCTCCAGAGGGGTCTGATCTTGTCCTGCCCGCCGACGTCCCAAACCGTGAAGCTGATGTTCTTGTATTCCACAGTCTCCACGTTGAACCCTGCGAAGGAGGAGAGAACAGGCCTGAGCCGCTGCACACGACTTCTCCCAACACCTCCGGCACGACTCGGCACCAGCCTCCAGCAACCACACTCTCAGCATGACTCGGCACACAGCCGAAATACCGAATGGAGCTGAAATACTCCAACATGGATATGATTACTGACTGACTTACATCAAGTAACACAAGAAATATCTGGATACCCCATATATTAGTCTGTAATATTAACTCCTCAGTCATGGTTTGGTTGTCCCAATTCAAACAGCAACTGGTAACTCAGTCAACACATGAACAATTGACAGTGATTATTAAATGCGATTTTTTATACTAATTCTCCACCCAACCACAAAAAATCATGATTCTATAAACTGCATAACAGTGAAACACACACTTAAATGACACTCCGACACCGGGCACCACCGACACGCCAGCCCTCT